CTCCTCCTCCTCCTCCCCCCCCTCCCCCTCATACTCCTCTTCTTCTTATTCACATTAGTATTATGATTCGTGTTAGTTTGCTTGTTATTATTATTAGTCGTATTATTAGTAGTATTCTTATTAGTATTACTATCTGGCATTCGTATTAGTCTTCTTAGTATTATTCTTAGTAGCCCCCTTGTTATTATTATCTTATTCTTAGCACTAGTACGGTTAATCGTCTTGTTATTAGTCTTAGCCTCATTAGTCATGTTATTATTATTGTGTGTCGTCTTATTCTTATTGTTAGTATTAGTAGTATGATGTTTCTTCTATTATTAGTATTCTCTGCGCACGATTATTATTATTACTAGTCTTAGTATCCGTCCTATTATTCGTAATTTTATTATTATTACGATTAGTAGTATTATTGGTATTATCTTCCTCCTCATCCTCTTCCTCATCAGTATTGTCATTATGATTCGTATTAATATGAGTAGTATTATTCTCCGTCGTTGTCTTATCATTAGCATTCTTAGTATTATCAGTGTTACTCTTGTTCTTATTCAGATTCGTACTAGTCGTCACTATTATTATTCGTACTATTAGTGTTCGTGCTATGCGTCGCATTAGTCTTGTTATTCTTACGGTTATTATTAGCAGTATTAGTTTCGTTTGTAGTATGATTGTTAGCAGCATTAGTAGTATTACTATGATTACGATCATTACCATTATCAGTATTATTATTAGTCGGCGTTCTTATTATTAGTATTGCTCGTATTATTATGTTTACTATTATTCTTATTATTAATGATATGCGTCTTCTTCGTATGGGCTTTACTAACATTACTATTAGTTTAATAATATTGTTCGTACTCCTCTTCGTAGTAGTACCATGCTTATTCTTCTTAGTAGTAGTAGTCGTGCGGTTATTCGTATTACTATTATATTATTATGAGTAGTATTCGCATCACTATTATCATTATTCGTTTTATTAGTATTAGTAGTATTCCTGGTTATGGTTCTTCGTTTTACTATTCTTATTCGTCTTCTTATCATGATTATTCGTATTATTCTACTTAGTAGTAGTATTATCATTATTACTCGTGTTATTATGATTCGTTCCAGTATTATTAATAGTATTCGTAATATTCCTCTTCTTATTATTACTATTATTATTATTAGTATTAGTATTCGTCGTGTTGTCCTTATGATTGTTATTATTACTTCTATTAGTATTGTTCCTCGTCCTCCTCCTCCTCATCCTCCTCCTCCTCCTCTTCCTCCTCCTCCTCCTCCTCGTCCTCTTCCTCCTCGTCCTTCTCCTCCTCCTCCTGCGCCTCCTCCTCCTCCTTCTCATTCACCCCCCCTCCTCCTCCACCCCCCCTCCTCCTCCTTCCTTCCTCCTCCTCCTCCTCTCCTCCTCCTCCTTCTCCTCTCTCTCTCTCTCCTCCCTCCTCTCCTCCTCCTCCTATTCCTCCTTCCTCCTCTCCTCCCTCCTCCTCCGCCTCCTCCTCCTCCTCCTCTTCCTCCTCTCCCTCCTCCTCCTCCCTCTCCTCCTCTCCACCTCCTCCTCCTCCTCCTCCTCCTCCTCCTCTTCCTCCTCCTCTCTACTCCTCCTCCTCCTCCTCCTCCTCCTCCTCCTCCTCCTCTCAGCTCGTCGCACTGCCACTGCCTCCCCCCCTGCTGCCACTGCCGCCCCCGCCACTGCCACTCCTCCTTCCTCCTCCACCGCCGCCACTGCCGCCCCTGCCCACTCCGCCACTGCCACCCCTCCTCGCTTGCCCTCCTCCCACCGCGCTGGCACTGCCGTTCCTCCCCGCAGCACTGCCGCCCGCCCCCGCTCCTCCCACCATGCTGCCACTGCCGTCGCTCCTTGGTCCAGCTTCTGCCACTGCCCGCCCCTCTCGCACGCGCCAATCACGGCATCGTAGCTGGCGGCAGGTGCAACAGCACTCGTTTGCATCGCCGGAGCCCGCTGCCACTGCTCGCCCGTCTCGCAAGCGGCGCGCGCGAGAGCGCTGCGAGGCCAGGGGCGCGTCGCGCCGCAGCGGAGTGTTGTTGCGGCACCACGCAAGGATCTGGTCAAGCTCAGCCTTGGCCGCGCAGGCGTCCCCGCCGATGATGCTGCACTGGAAACGGTCACCCAACACAGCTTCGCATCGCAGCGTCGACTGACCTCCGCGAAGTCACTGCGGAACTCACCCTGGCGCTCCAGGCCCCACGTCGGGAAGCCAAGGACGGGGATCTCGCCCACCGAAGGCACCCGCAGGCCCCCCGCTGGAGCACGCGACACTTCCCCGCAGTGCCCTTGGAACGTGAGACGTTCGATCCCGGTGCGACGCACGACACGCTGACGGCTGGGCCTGGCCGCTTTGCGCTGGCCCCCCCTGGAATATTGGAGCCCGCTCTCTATGTTTACCTCAGCCCCGCGAGCGCGCCCCTGGACTGATGCCGCGTCGGTATACTTGCGAAACAATCACTAGCTCAAGCTCGATGCGGAATGGCAAAGTCGTTCTGCAGACGCCGGGCCCAAGTGCGCACGACGAATCCGCGCGTAGACGTCGTCGCCCGTCTTGGACAATGTCGGCCCTGGTCCAAATTAGAACTTTGGACATTCGAGGGACGCTCCCATCCACGGCCAAAACCGCTTCACGCACCAGCGCCAAGTCGGCCATGACTTCCACGCTGTCTTCTGCGACCGCAGCAAGTATCTCTTCGTCGCCGCTGTCGATGAGCATCTGGCGCATACGGCAGGCCGCCCGGCCGATGCCGGCGACGCACGGGTCGCCGATGATCATCGCCTCCGCCTGCACGCGCGCAGCCCAAGGTGCAAGCAAGGCGTCATAGCCGCACCCGCGCTCGCCGTCGCGAAGGACGCGACGATGGACGCACCGCGGGGAGAGGCCTCCTCGTTTCCGGGCTGCTGGGACCCGCATGAGCCGGTGGCCCGCCACGGACACGTCGGTCCATCAGCACACACCGGGCGCTGATCCGCCCCCGGTGCCGGCAGCCTGCCGTGGGCCCCGTGGCCCCCAAAAAAATTCGATTGCCGCTGCACCGACTCCCGGAGTTGCGCCGCAATCCTTAGCGGGAGCCTCACACGTCGGGCGCAATAGACGCGCCAAGCAATCTGGACGCACAACGCAGCCTGCTCTCGGAAGGCACGCCGTCGAAGCAGCCACGCCCTCGCAGCACGCTGGACAGCCAGAATGGCAGCCGCAGAGGCACCAGAAAAGTCCCGAGTCACCAGCGCGGGGAGACGTGGAAAACGAATATCCCTCACAGGCCGCGGAGCGTCCTCCAACTAGGGGTAAGAATCGCTGGGGGTGAACGCTGGTGCCTCTGCGGAAAGAAGAAACACAGGAACGCCAGAGCGGAGACGAAGCCTCTGCTAGCGACAAGCACATGAGAAATCCTTCTGAAGACTGGGTGTCGTTAGATTCCCGAGCGTGGACAATGTGGCGCTCACGCCCACCGCGCCAAAGGAGGCACCTAGAAAACGGTAGGCATTGTCTCCGACAATCGGTCTGGCCAACGTCGCAGCGTGAGAAGGGTCATGGACGTTGTGCTCCAATACCTCACACAAGAACGTGCGCCGACGAATAGCAGCTTGCTGGAGAGAAGAATCAATATCACGATACGACTGCTTCTCCAGTAGGCGAATGCAAACGGCCAAACAGTTCAGCTTAGATGGCATGGCAGGGGGGCCGAGCACAAGGAAAGCCAGAGCGCCACCCGAGGGGGCCCGGGTGCGCGCGGGGGGTAGCACCGACGGGTGCAGTGAGGGTCGGGGTAGGCACCGAGCAGGTGCAACAGCACTGGTATTTTTCTTCCAGCAAATAACGGTGAAAGCACCACCGTCGGTCACGTAGCCAACCGACCAGAACGAGAAATGCAGGCGGACATGAAAGAAGCAGGACGCAGCAAACGAGATTGCCTCCTGAGGCTCTTGAGCCAGGCTTGAGCCAAAATGGCTACGGACACACACACACACACACACACACACATACACAAGCTGCGGCAGACCTGGTTCAGTGATCATGGCATATTGCTTGGCTTCGGGGCCTTATCAAAAATTGGCTTTACCCGAGACCAGCGGGAGGCGGAGGAGGAAGGAGAACAGGAGTAGAAGAAGGAGGAGAGCAGGAGAAAGGAGAGGAAGGAGGAGGAGGAAGAGGAGGAGGAGGAAGAGGAGGAGGAGAAGGAGGACGAGGAGGACGAGGGAGCCGACGCGCCCTGCCTGCCCGCCCAACTCGGCCACTGCCTGCTGCAGCCTGCTCCGCAGCCCGGCATCCAGATGCCAGCGGCTGGCCCGCCCGCCGGCAAGCCTCGGCGAGGCAGAGGGGTGATGACCTGGAGGTCCTCCCTGCCTCCACCGTTCTTCGTCGATTCCCCCTTCCTTCCTCCTCCGTCCCTCCACCCTCACTCCCGTTTCCGCCCCCCGCTCCCTCCCTCCATCTCCTTTCCCTCATGGACAACGCCTCCATCCCTCCTCCATCCCTCCACTGTCGTTCCTCCATCCCTCCCTCATACGCTTTCTGTATGGATGCGCCATCGCGCCCCCTGGCACGTTGAGGCGTCCTGTAATGCAAGGCGCTGACTGGCAAGGCCTCTGTGGCCTTTTGAGCCCCCCCCCCTCTACCAGCTCGGGGTTGCGAGCATCGCCCCCTGTGCCCGAGGCCACGAGCCCTCGCAAGAGACAACAGGTTCGCAGTCCCGAGACCACAATGCTTCCAAAAATCCGCCGACCCTGTCGGCGTGTGTGAGGGGCTTCTCCGTTCGAGTCGGGTTCCGTCGAAACCTGTCAGCGAAAGAAAAACCTAGCAACGTCGTACTCGAATCGAAGGGAAGCCCCTTCCCTATGATCCCTCCCCCGTCGGGGGGGGGGAGGGGGGGGGGGGGGTCAGATACGCATCCCCCCCTGGGGGTCCCCTGGGGGGGATCCCGACGGGGGTGGGTGGGGGAGGCGTCTTCCGCCTGCTCCTCATGCGGCTCCTCCTTCTCTTTCATCGTGTCGCGGTCAGCGTCGTCGTCCTACGGGTCGGCGACACCAGCCGCAAGGCCTTCGCAATATAACAAGCTCGCGCACCCGAGGCCATCATGCGGCTCTCACTTGGGATTTCCTCGACGCCCGTGACCATCAGTGTAAGCTTTGCGCAACGGTTACACGGACTGGGGCGGTCCTTTTACAGAACGGGAATGCCGCTGGACATTTCGGTGAGTTGTACGATGACAAAATCTTCAATTCCAGGGACTTGTGAGGAGAGGACTTGGGACGGGAGGGCACTTGCATCATCACTGGTGCACGTTTGATATACCATGGTCGTCCCCCTCCTCCGCCTCCTCCTCCTCTTCCTCTTCCCCATCCCCCTGCTTCCTGCCCCTTTCCCCTCCCCCTCCCCCTCAACCTCCCCCCCCTCCTCCTCCTCCTCCTCATCCTCCTCCTCCTCCTTTTCCTCCTCCTCCCCCTCCTCCTCCTCCTCCTCCTCCTCCTTCTCCTCCTCCTCCTCCTTCTCATCAGTCTTTCCTCTGAGAATCGGGGTAAGATGACAAAGGAATTACGGTCTCGTGTTCACTCTGCTCAGTGGAAAAAATACGGGATGAGACATCGATAAGACAAGTAACCGGTAAGCAAAAGTACTCTATCAGGAATAGTGAGTGAGGAGGCCGGCCGGCCGACGACACGACTACGACGAGGGAAAGACCCCTCGGCGCGCGCGCGCGAGCCAGCACGCTACTTTAATCTCCTTCGAGCACACATACAGCTGCAGAATGCAGTATACGTTATAGTCAGACAGTGCGCAGCAAGGCAAGCGATATAATAAGCAGCATGAAGATGAGGCGGAGAGGAGCATATTTACTCCCCCCGCGGCGGGCCTCGTAGTGCCCATCCAGCCACAGCACCCCTGTCCTATATATATATATATATATATATATACATAAATATACATACATACATATATACACACACAACCACCGGAGCGAACCGCAAAAACTTGCACCGCTAAACGGTGGCCGCCAGGGGGCTAAGGGCCGAAGAGGCCCGACGACCCCCACCATCAGATAAATAAATTATGTCCGCCGATTCGGCTTCACCGATCGGCAGAACTGCTTGATTCGTCCGACACGACTTCGTCGCGCGGCGAAAACTCTCTTGCATGCGCCTGCAGCGACTAAGTCACGCGGGCCGGACTCAATCCAGGTCCTCGAACGGGTCGTAGTCCCCCGTCGGTGGCGTCGGAGGCCCCGGGCGTGATGACGCCGAGCCTCCTGTCTGTCCCTCGCCACCACGAGGCGAACGGGACCTCCCTTTGCCATGGCGAGCGTAGTACGCTGATCTGTAGTGCTTCTCTTTGTTCTTGGTCGCCTTCCCCTTCGGCGGGAAGCGAAACTCACGTTCAGCCAGAGACAGGACGTGCCACGTCTGCGACCACCAGACATCGTTGGACAACCACCAGATCCGATCCCGATGGACATAGCATCCGACCTGCACATCGTTTGTGTAGTGCGGGTAGGAGACGAGCGGGTCGTAGCCAGCAGCGCCGCGGCCGACATCCATGGCTCCATCGCGCGCGCGCTGGGGCCTCGACCAATCCCGTGTGTCAGAGTACCACGAGTATTCTTCTCTTGCCGAGACGGCTGTGCCGGCGGCAGAGCATGGGGATTCGGTAACTTCGTCGCCAGCCCGAGCGTCTGAGACGTCGGGTCTGCGCGGCGGAGGTGGTGGTTGCGGTCTCGCTTTCGCCGCGTCCTGCGGTCGTCTCGGCCCCACCGAACCAGCTTGGCTGTCGCGGGGCTCATTGGCACTTCCGCTCCCACGAACATTCTGCTCTCGATCGCGAATGAACTTCAGCAAATTCCTAGCAGCTGTAGCTACTGGAATGCCAAATTTACCGCATGCAGCACGGAACGGGCCTGCATCCTTGTCTTGGAGCTCCGTGTGTTGGCATCTACATACCTGTTTTGAAGCCAATAGATGGCCTCCTGTAACAATGAGCCCCGGCGACGAATGTCGGTTCGCACTTGTCTACCTAGATTACGGGCCCACTCTTCTACGAGGCCGCCCGTCGGAACCGCAGCGCGGATGCGACAGTCAAGGGCATATGCATCCCTCCGTCGCTTATAATGATCATCATCTGTGCTCCCTCCCGCGGCGCGAATTGTTCGCCCCGGGCAAACCAAAATGTCCATCTGAAATAAAGGAGCTCATGATCTCGCGAACAATATCAACCACTCTTATAATGCGGAGACCAAGTTGCATGTTTGGTACTAGGGCCATCCAGTTCCCTTCAACTATGCTCCTCACGATATCTGGGATTTCGCGTTCCGTTTCCCCTGACAGTCGCAACCTATTGGGATCATTGGTATTTGAGCGAACAGTTGTGTATTCAATGACATATTGAGCTGTTATCGCTCTAGCCTCAATCCCGCGTAAAGATATATTTATTGAACTGTTCTCACAATGTTTATATGAATATCCATTGGGCTGATCAGGGTTGATCGTCCCTTCAGTTATCAGCGCGGCCTTCGGCCCGCTGAGAGCTGCGAAGTCAAGTGCGACCTGCAAGTTTGCGCCTGCCATCGCGGCTTCGCCGGAGGCAGGTTGCAGCATTGGTGCTATGAGGCGATGGTCGCGACACTGATTTGCTCGTCTAGTGATAGAACGAGAGTCACGACTCGGTCTCGCCTCCAGTCTGTTTTCCCAGGCAACCGGTAGACGTCCGCGAAGGCTTTGCCCTGCGGCGTCTGCGGCATCGCCCTGCTGCTCAGGCATCCACGGTGCTCCCATGGCTACCGCATTGGCTACCGTCTGAAGTGTCGGGACGAAAATGTTTTGCCTGGTCATCGTGAGCTGCCATCTCTCCCAACCGTTCATCGGTTCATGGAGGTCGTCTCGCTGATCTGGCCAGTCGAAGGCTGCCAGAGCTGGACAAGACATTGGGCGCGCATACTGGTCAATACCTGATTTCCAAAGCATTGGCCACCATACCTGAATTGGAGGAACTTGGGCCCTCGCTCTTGAAGCCAAGAATGCGAGCCATTCAATGAACCTCCATTTCAAAGGCTCCAAATATGGAAGAAAGGGCCACGGCGCGCCGGCGGCTGAGCCGCGGCGTTCTCTGGAACCCAGGCAGGAAAGTTGCCTGGCCGGCTGTTTCCAAAGATCTGACCAGCAGCGGCCATCTGCGTGAATGCCCCATCTGCCCACTTGCGCTCCTGCTGTTGGTTACTGCTGACATTTCTTATCACAATCGCAGAGGCTCTGTTTTGTCTTCTAGTACGCGTACCGATCCATTCAGCACGCGTAGTGGGAAGATCATCCGGGTCGTGAACATGTAATTGAAGTCCGTTTGCCTCAAGGGATGTCGGAATGATCTGTTTGTTCCACGTCTAGGCCATATAGTCGTGAGTGACTCTATGTTTATACTTGATCCGACAGTTGCAAGATGGACAGTGTCCGAAGCCCGTGCGCACCCAGTGAAATTGGCAACACAAAAACCTACTGTCGTCCGTCCAGGGGACAGACAGAACACGTTCTTGCGCCTCGGGCGGCAACTGGGGCCTGTGATTTGGGACCAACGACAGCGTCTCGTCAGTGCGAATCCAAGCGATCACTGATTCGTTGTCAAAAGTCACTTCGTACGAGGCCCATTCATGGTTGAAAACAACGGACATCTGCTGTGTTCCAATATCCGCTGGGTTTCCAACTCTAACAAGGGTGACGGCCTTGTCGATATCAGTGAACCTTGGCACCTCTCGAGACACGAGGGTCACGCCCTGACAAATTCTATGCGAAAAGCGAGTGGGTACTCGGCCAGCGAAAACAAAAAATAGTGGCCAGGAATCTCTATGGTTGGGGAGCTTGTCCCACAGATGGACTGTGTCCTCTGCGAGCCATGTCCCAACTGTTGGCGGCTCTCCTTCTTGTGCGTTATGGCCCATAGATACAAAACGCCTTGGAGGGGGAGCCTCCCCATACCTCCGCTGGCTGAGCCACGGAGGGATACGCGTTGCATCAGGCATTGTTGGGCTCCTCTTGGTCGGAAGCAGCCTTAGTAATTCGCAGTCTGCTTCAAGGCAAAGCCCTGAATCTTTCTTCGGAAAGCGTACCCTTCCATCCGTAGATTCTAGAAACGTCTGCATGTCTATGGCATGGAAGGGACCCGTGACTCCTGGCTCGGCCCGGGTCATATTGGACGTCCATTATTTCAATGGAAGCTTTAAAAGTGGAATGTCCCTGGCACGCACGATAGAAAACAGGCATGGCAACTGCACTCCTCTCTTGTATCTGCGAGGGGCACGCCTTGTAATGTTACCACATGTTGTG